ATTCTGCTTCACTGATCACCAATGACTTAAGTGAGACAAGGGAGTGAGGACAATTGTTTATGTGACCTGAGGATTACTGAATTTTCCTTCTGAATTGGTGAATAGCCAGAGGTGCTAAGAAGTTAGGACTTCCAGATGGTTTAGTCATTTCTCTTTCATGTTGCTTTTTACAGCTGTCTTCCTTTTAAATATTGAGTACTAGTGAATAGAAGGTATTCTGAATCCTGCATACCATTAAAAACCATCACTCTGTATATATCAGAACGACATACATATATGTTTTGTAAGTCTTCAAATCACCGGAAAGAAAACAGTCAGTACTGAAAATTAGAAACCTTAGGTTTCATAATTCCATATGAAAAACATGAGCTCATATAGCACAGAAAATAAAAATTTAACATGGAGTAAGTCGTACACTATATGCATATACATACAAAACAATAGTGGTCACCTTCATCAGGTAGAACAGCCTGTACCCGTGTCCACATCCACATATTTCATACCTGTTGACACAGGGTCCAGAAGGTACAGAATAAATGGCAATGTGGACCCCTTTAAGTAGCCACGATAATTCTCCTTATAAGAGATGCACATTCCAGATGATGTCAGCTGTCGTCATTTACTGTCGTTAACAGCTCTTCCTTTTTGATATACATTTCAGGGTTCACAACTATGATAGCATTTGCAGCAATTTCATTTTTCATGTGTCTATAAACATAAATGACTAGATAACTCCAGCTTGGCTTTGCATGTTCCTAGTTTGTGGTGATGGCATGTAAAGAAATTCATAAAAATGACAGAAATACATAATTCAAAGAGCAACAGATGAGAGTAAGAAATCCTGTCTCTGCCCTGGGGCTATTCTTATAGCTTTCCTAAACACACTGTCCACCTGATAGTCTGTGGCTTGAACCTGGAACGTCCCTCACAGGTTCATGGTTTTGCTCCCACTATTTTGAAGAATGTAGAGCTTTCAGGAAGTGGGAACTGGTTGGAGGAAGTATATTACAAGGAGCAGGTCTGCTTTTGAAGGTTTTGACTACTTATTTCCTACCTGTCAAGTAGCTTCCTGTCTGCCAGATACTGTGGTGGTTTGAATACGAATGGCCCCCATAGGCTCATATATTTGAATGCTTAGTCAGCAGGGAGTAGAACTGTGAAGGACTAGGTGAGGCCTTGTTGGAGGAACTGTGTCACTAGAAGTGAGCTTGGAGGTTTCACAAAAGCTCACACTAGGCAAGCTTGCTCTCTCTTGGTCTGCAGATCATGATGCAGCTCTCAGCTATGAACTATATGTCTACCACGCTCCCCACAACAATAACAGACTAGCCCTCTGAAACTGAAAGCAAGTCTCCAGCTAAACAGTTAAATGTTTTCTTTTATAAGAGTTGCCATGGTCATGGTATCTCATCATAGCAACAGAACAGTGACTAAGACAGTTACATGTCACTGCACGATCCTGACTTCTGTAGTCATCATGCCTTCTTTGGGCCAATGAACTGAGACCTCCCTTAAGCTGTTCTGCCATCTGTTTCATCACAGCAATACAAAAGTAACCAATACAAATCCCAAGAGATTTAAGCAGTATATACACAGAGGGACCAGGAAGATTACACATTTGAATTGAGGCGAAGGTGATCATTGACCCATGATGGTCTTGCTATTGACTTTTTCATGTAAAGATGCTGGGGATAAAATACACAACAGAAGATATCTTCATTTTTCAAGATGGACTCAATTTAAAGTTGAGACATACAAGTCCAGTTTCTCGTGATGCTGGTTACTATGGAAGCAGCATAGTAAGCTGCCGCCTATTTAGGAGCACGTGGAGCTCGTAAACTGATGCCATTCAATGCAAGTATTTGGTGAACTGTACGATATACTCAATATACTATAAAAGCCATTGCTTTATACTTGCATTCAACTGTAGATTAATAGAAAAGATCTGAATATACTGAAGCTGGACTGAGCTTAGCTTTGAAGTTCGAATTTAAGTGAATCACTTGCATTTTCAACATACAATATACTTCTTTGTGAAACTGTACTTTTGAAACACGTAAAAGAACCACCACTGCTCCTATAAATTGTACTGAGTTCTTCTCATGACTTATGTTTCCCTTTATTGTGTTATTGCAGCCTTCCTGGTAAGAAATACTAAGTACTTCACAGACCATATGAAACCCAAAAAGAAGGAGGACCAAAGTATGGATGCTTCAGTGCTTCTTAGAAGGGGGAACAAAATACTCACAGGAAGAAATATGGAGACAAAGTGTGGAGCAGAGACTGGAGGAAAGGCCATCCAGAGACCGTGCCACCTGGGGATCTATCCTATACAGTCACCAAACCAGGACGCTATTGTGGATGCAGGGAAGTGCTTGCTGACAGGAGCCTGATAAGGCTGTCCCGAGAGGCTCTGCCAGAGCCTGACAAATACAGAGATGGATGCCCCAAGCCAATCATTGGATTGAGTGCAGAGTCCCTGATGGAGGAGTTGGAGAAGGGACTGAAGGAGCTGAGGGGGTTTGCAGCTCCATGAGGGGAACAACAGCGTCAACCGGCCAAACCCCACACAGCTCCCGGGGACTGGACCACCAACCAAAGAGAACATATGGAGGGACCCATGGCTCCGGCTGCATATGTGGCAGAGGATGGCCTTGTTGGACATCAGTGGGAGGATCAATCCTTGGGCTTGAGGGTGTTCCATGGCCCAGTGTAGGGGAATGCCAGGGTGGGAAGAAGGGAGTGGGTGGGTTCGTGGGTGGGAGAACACCTTCATAGAGGCAGAGGGCAGGTAGATGGGATAGGGGTCTCCAAAGGAGAGACCTGGAAAGGGGAAAACAATTGAAATGTAAATAAAGAAAATATCCAATTAAAAAAAGGAATCAGTTACACACACACACACACACACACACACACACACACACAAAGAAATACTAAGTACTAAAGGTCTATGTTCACAACTACAGTGTAGCCAGGCATGTGTCTCATTATGTTTAATATCAGTGTAGTATAGAAGACATTTCATGTTTAGAACCTAGTGATCCCTCTAAAACAAATCCTTCAGAAATGTAAGAATGACTTTCAAGCAGGCTTGGGCCTGCTCTCCTTGAAAGAAGAGTGAATTACAGGCTAACCTGGGTTCAGAGTAAGATATTGTCTCAAAAACCAAAACAGACAAAAAGGGAAAAAGTGATTTTAATGACAAAACACATGGTCACTTATGGTTACAGACAGATTTAGAGGCATAATTTGTTAGATATTAGTCCACAAAAAGTAAGGTCCCTGCAATCTCTGGTAAAAAGGCACTTAAACTCTGTGTCTGAGTAAAGCACAGTGAGAAACAAAAGTGACAACACAAGCCTGAACTGAAATTAAGAGGAGTAGAGGTGTAAACACTATTTGTAAGCACGCGACAATGACTTGACATTAAAGGTAAATATCAACAGTCATATATGCTATCTGACTTATGATTATGGTAGGATATTTGCAGGTATCTTTCATTCTTGGTAATTTGTAAATTGGGCAAAATAGTTCAGAACTTTCAGAACTCTAATGTGCAAAGTCTTTAAGAAAACATATATCAAAGCATAAAACGTCAAATATAAAATGCCATCTGACCTGAGAAATCAACTGGACTTCACTGTGAGGTGCTAGGGTTAAAGTAGCACAACTATGCCTTGTCATTTCCAGAAATGATTCGCTCAACAGGGCCCTATCCTCGCCAAAGGACTACCCTCTGCATATGTTCATGAGGTACAGCTGGGAGAGGTGAAATGCAGCAGGTATGACATAATTGGAGGAAGTAGGTCATTGGGAAAAACTATCCTTGTGAAATGGTCTACTGGTTCCTTCTTACAATGCACACTAGTTTCTAGTGTCCACAAAATGATATAAACTCCTGTACTTGATGACTTTCTTGCCATAATGAACTGTGAGCCAAAGTGAAGGAATTCCGCCCCCCTTAAGTTGTTTCAAGTATTTGGCATTAACAATGAGAAGAATAGAAAAGATACAGTATAAATATCAAAGATAGAGCCCAGCATGGAGGCACATGACTTTATTCCCAGCACTTGGGAAGCAGAAACAGGTAGATCTTGAAGTTTGATGCCAGCCTGGTCTAAGGAACCAGTTCCAGGATAGCCAGGGCTACACAGAAACTCCGTCTCAAAAGAAAATCCAACAAAACAAAACCAAAAATATCAAAGATAAAAAGTTCCCACATGATGCTAACAGAGAAAGCCTAAAAATAAAACTTCATTTTTCAACAGCTCATTATTAACATTACTCTAAAAACATCTTAAAAATATATTTCATTTGAATCTAATACAAAAAGAGAAGAAATGTACATGACCTGTAAAGACACAACCCATTAAATTCATGCCTTACTGTTTAAAGACACTTAGAGATTAGGTCACCTGAAAATTTATTTACAAGAGTTAAAATTAGAAGTAAACTTTCTAGACATTTATCTTCTGAATTATTGACCAGTTAATGTTTATTCACAGTGATCTTAAAAAGAATTAATGAATTCTGTTACTTAACGGATTTTCATAAAGCTTTGTAAACTGTTTTGATAACTTTGTTATACAACTTTTGATACTGGGGACTTTCTCAGAGGTTAGCCAACTGAAGACTTCTATCTACATCAATTTAAGGTATTCGTCTCTATTGGTATCATGTGGGATCTTTTCACTATGGTATGAACTATTATGTTAGTGAATGCTATCAAGATGACTAGAGGCATTCCTACAGAAAACATGGCCCTGGTTCTCTGCCTATGCATTGTCATGTTAAGAATGGCTTTCCAGCCGGGCAGTGGTGACGCACGCCTTTAATCTCAGCACTTGGGAGGCAGAGGCAGGCAGATTTCTGAGTTGGAGGCCAGCCTGGTCTACAGAGTGAGTTCCAGGACAGCCAGGGCTACACAGTGAAACCTTGTCTCGAAAAACCAAAAAAAAAAAAAAAAAAAAGAAAAAAGAAAAAAGAAAAAGGATGCCTTTCCATGTTCTACACTTAGGGATTTCTTCTACTGTGAGTCTTCTCATGTATTTTAAGGGAACTGGACCGGGTAAAAGCTTTCCCACATTGCTTGCAAATGAAAGGTTTCTCACCAGTGTGGATTTGTTCATGTCTTTGACAATCACTTAAAGTATAAAAGGATTTCCCACACTGTTTACATACAAAAGGTTTCTCTCCACTGTGAATCCTTTCATGACGTCGAAGGGAACTGTGACCAGTGAAGGCTTTCCCACATTGCTTACACTTATATGGTTTTTCTCCAGTGTGAATCCGTTCATGTATTCTAAACTTACTAAAAGAAATGAAACCCTTCCCGCACGGCTCACATACATAGGGCTTTTCACCACTGTGAATCCTCTCATGATTTCGAAGGGCACTGGGATTAGTAAAGGCTTTCCCACAATTCTTACATACATGGGGTTTCTCACCGGTGTGAATTTGTTCATGTCTTTGACAGCCACTCAAAGAAGAGAAACCTTTCCCACAGTGCTTACATACATAGGGTTTTTCTCCACTGTGAATTCTTTCATGGCGTTGAAGTGAACTGTGACCAGTGAAGGGCTTACCACATAGTTTACATATACAGAGTTTCTCTCCAGAATGAGTCCATTCATGTTTTCGAAAATTACTGGAAGAAATAAAACCTTTCCCACACTGCTTACATACATAGGGTTTCTCCCCACCGTGAATCCTCTCATGGCATCGGAGGGAGGTATGGCGAGTGAAGGCTTTCCCACACTGCTTACACACATAGGGCTTCTCTCCACTGTGAATCCTCTCATGGCATCGGAGGGAACTGTCAACGCTAAAGACTTTCCCACACTTCTTACATTTATAAGGTTTCTCCCCAGTGTGAGTCCTTCCATGTATTCGAAGGGTACTGGAAGAATTGAAACCTTTCCCGCATTGCAAACATACATGGGGCTTCTCACCGCTGTGAACCCTCTCATGATACCGAAGAGAACTGAGAGTAGTAAAGGCTTTATCACACAGCTTACATACATAGGGCTTTTCTCCAGTGTGACAACGTTTATGTGTTTGAATGGAATTGTAATAACTGAAGGCTTTTCCACATTGCTTACATACATAAGGTTTTTCACCAGTGTGACATCGTTTATGTGTCTGAAAGGAATAGTAGTAAGTGAAAGCTTTCCCACACTGTGTACACACATAAGGTTTTTCTCCAGTATGAGTTCTTTCATGGTCTTGAAAGTTCGTCAAATAACTGAAAGCCTTACCACAGCTATTACATCTGTATGGTTTCTCTCCAGTATGAGTACGTTCATGTCTTCGAATGTTACTCAGAAAAGAAAAGGCTTTCCCACATTGTGTACATAAATAGGGTTTCTCTCCAGTGTGAGTTCTTTCATGTTCTTGAAAGTTAGTTAAACAAGTGAAGGCTTTATTGCATATATTACACCTGTACGGTTTCTCTCCAGTGTGAGTTCGTTCGTGTCTTCTAATGTTACTCAAAAAGGAAAAGGTTTTTCCACATTGTTTACATGCATAGGGTTTCTTTCCAGTGTGGATCTTTTCAACATACTGAAGAAAATCAGGATAAGCAAAGGCATTATAATGCTGCTTATCTATACATATTTCTTCTCTCCTTTCATCATTCACACGGATTTGAACATAACTATTACTTTTGAAGATTTTCTCACACTGGTTAAACTCATAGGATCTCTGTCTAGTGTCGCCGTCTTCATGCTTCAGAAAGCATTCTGGATAAATGAAGGCTTTCTCACATTCTCCAAATTTACAGAGGTTCTCTCCACGTAGTTCATATTCATGAGGTTTGTGTGTAGTCTGAAGAGGCACAGATACATTAAGGGATGAATGACGAATGAGCATGTTGTCCTTGTACACATGGTTTTCACAAAGCATTGTTCTATGAGAAATTCTCCTGTTCACAATGGTTTTTGGAGTCTGTTTGGAGATTTCTTTACATTCACTGCCTTTGCTATGCTCCAACAGTCTTTCCACAACTTCATTTCTGTTTAAAATAAAAGAAAAAAAGGAAAGTATAACTAACAGAGTTATAAATTCCCTACCAGCAGAATTCCTGAGAATTTCTGAATATGATTGAAGGTTCTACAGGATGTGGAGACAGGTAATATTAAGGCACTATATTCATATAGGTTTTTTTCTGTGCTAACATCTGTTTATTTACTATTTGTGTGTGCACATGCTATGGTGGGCATATGGAAGTAGGATGACAGCTTTTAGGAGTTGGTTCTCTTCTTCTACTATATGGGTCCCAAGGATTGAACTCAAGTCAAACTTGCAGTGAATGCTTTTACCTGAGGAATCATTTTGCTAGCCTAATCATATTTTTGAGGTCAATCTCTTGCTATGATGCATGGGCTACATTCAAATTCAACTTCTAATATGTGGGTTCATATTTGCCTCGAAATTCAAGTACTTGAGTATTCCTCATGCAAAATATTGAAGCAAAACTATTTTCTATTTTAAATTTTTTTCATATAGATAAAATATCTTGAAGGCTGTTCTCAGAATAAACATAAAATTCCTTTATATTTTCTCTATATTCCATACTTTACACACATTGTTAACTTTGTGCTTGGATACAAGTTTGTGTATATAAAACCATTAGAAAGTATCACTTGTATCTCATGTCAATAGTGTAAATATTTCCAATTCTATATACACTTTATTGGAAAGAAATGTTTTAAATTACATCACCTTGAAGTTGGGCTTATTTGGATAGTTGTCTTAATTTAAAAAACTACTGGAAAACAAAACAAAAAAAAACAAAAAAACAAAACCAAAAAATCCTACTGGCCATTTCCAGATTCTTGAGCTACATTATCATGAGTTGGTAAAGTTACCTTTGATTTCTTCTAGAATATCTATGTTCATCATCTATGTTCTGGTCTTCTTGTGTTTTTCCTAGAATATAGACCCAGAGAAATCTGATTTAGTCATAATAGAAAAAAAATACCAGATTCTACATAGATTCATGGTATAACATGACCATGCCTGATAAAGCCACCTAATTTACCTTCCCATATCACAAATCATGAAGTAACATTTTTGAGCAAGACAGACTTAGAATCCGGTTGACCAAGTAAAAATATGATCTTGATCATACCTATAGCAGCCAGGTTCCTGAAGGTTTCCTCCATTACATCTTTGTGTAGCTTCTTTTGGGAAGAGTCTAGTAAAGCCCATTCCTCCACAGTGAAGTCTACAGCCACATCTTCAAAGGTCACAGAGCCCTAAAATAGCCGAGATATTTTCAGAAGAAAAGATGAGACTCACAACACTGAGAATCTGTGAATGTTCTCTAAATGTTCAATATATATCCCAGTTATCACACTCCTGTCTTACATTCATAATTGTACTCTCTAACACAAAAATCCCCACATTATCTTTGAAGCAACACAACAACAACAACAACACATACCAACTATGCTGCTGGAACTTACAGTTTCTACTAGTGCACAAGTCTTTACCCTTTTCCCCACAAAAATACTACTACAGAGCAGACAAGTGTTAACACCCGCTGCCTTAGAATTGCACACTTTTAGAACAGATTATGAGGGTGAGTGTTTTCATCCAATGCTAATTCACAAGGCCATAATGTTCTGCCTTATCACAGACACAAAGCAATGGAGCCAAGAGACAACAGAATGAATTATCTGAACCATGACACAAACATAAACCTTCCAACTTTATATAAATTACTTTTCTCAATACTGTGACTACGTAGCAATTCATGAGAAGTTTCCTAGATGATTTCAAATATGTTACCCTAACTAGGAGACTAACCATCACAAAAACCTTCAGTTGCTTTTCTCAGGAATATTGTAATAGGAATGCAAAGCTAATTAACATATTCCACCATCTAAACTAACATTAACAGATTGGTTAAGAATAGATCATGGTTGGTGCCTGGTTAATTATAATTAAAGGGACTTCCTCTGGCAGCTGATGGGAACAGTTACAGAGACCTGAAGCCAAATATCAGGCAAAGAGCCCAAATTGGAGATCTTCATTTCTGAGTTAAGTGAACCCCATTGAAGAGGGGCAGGAAGAATTGCAGGAACCAGAGGGGTTGAGAATACCAGGAAAACACAGCCCACAGGATCAACTAAGCAGGATCATAGAGGCTCACAGAGACTGAAGCAGCAGTCACAGAGCCTGCATGGGTTTGCACTAACTCCTTTGCATATATGTTATGGTTGTTATCTTGTTGGTTTCTGAGACCCCCAAACAGTGGGAGCAGGTGTGTCTCTGACTCTTGCCAGCTCTTGGGACCCATTTCCTCCTACTGGGTTGTCTCATCCAGCCTTGACATGATGAGAATTTGTGCCTAGTCTTACTGTATCTTGTTTTATACACTGTGTTTGGTTGATGTCCCTGGGAAGCCAGCTATTTTCTGGAGAAGAAATGGATGCGGGAGAAGGGAAGGCGGGGAGGGAAGAGTAAAGAGTGGAGGGATGTATAAGGAAAGAAAAAAAGTTCATGGAAGGGTCTAGGAGATGGCTCAGTCCATAAAGCATCCACTGTGTAAGCCTGAGTTTGAACTGCCAGAATTCAAGGAAAGCCAGCAATGGTAAGGCATATTTATAATTTTAACTATGGAATCTTACAAAATCAAAAATAAAGTTTAAATGCTTTCTTACTTGAAACAGGTAGAATCAAGGGATAATAACAATAAAATCAAAGCAAAAAATCAAAGTCCAGCAGTGCAAAACAAATCTTTTGGTCCAGCGTCCAAGGTCTAGGAACACCTATGACAAGATGGCAGGCCGAACCAGAAGAATCCCTGGAAACTGATGGGCCAGTTAGCCTGCAATACGCAGTAGTGACCAACAATGACTGTCCTTTGACTTCTATCTTAGTCAGGGTTTCTATTTCTGCACAAAACACCATGACCAAGAAGCAAGTAGGGAGGAAAGGGTTTATTTAGCTTATACTTCTGTACTGCTGTTCATCACCAAAGGAAGTCAGGACTGGACCTCACAAAGGACAGGAACTTGGAGGCAGGAGCTGATGCAGAGGCCATGGAGGGGTGCTGCTTACTGGATTGCTTCCCCTGGCTTGCTTAGCTTGCTTTCTTATAGAATTTAGGACTATTAGATGAGGGATGGCCCCACCCACAATGGGCTGGGCCCTCCCCACTTGATCACTAATTGAGAAAATGCCTTACAGCTGGATCTCATGGAGGCATTTCCTCAAAGGAGGCTCCTTTCTCTGTGATAACTCTAGCTTGTGTCAAGTGGACACACAAACCAGCCAATACAACTTCTAAACACAATTGTATGTGTGAGCATGCAGTGTGTACACACACATGTACACACATGCACATACACAGAGGGAGAGGGAGAGGGAGAGGGAGAGGGAGAGGGAGAGGGAGAGGGAGAGGGAGAGAGAGAGAGATATCACAGAAAAAGTTAACTGTATTAATCTGGCTCAAATGTAAACAAACAGTTGGTTTATCACATAGATGGCATTGTACAATGATGTCATAAACCTCAATCTCTTTACTATAGAATACCGCCCCCCCCCCGACATTTGGAAACATGCCTTGTATTTCCCCTTTCCACTAGCAGGTATCAAGCTATCCATTAAAATAGGGAAAAACCCAACAACCTTAATATTTTGAGATCACAGTTAAGGTTTGAATTTTAGACCATAAGAAATGGATGTGGCCATTTAAATCTATGAATATGGCCTTATGCTTCACAGGAGGGCAGGGATAGTCAGCCCTAGTTTGATTCCGTACACGATGAAACAAGGCAACCGACGAAAGCGATTGGCTGTGGTTGACAGCTCAGGAAATCAAAGTTGACAGACTTAAGAGACTATGGAGAAAAACAACGCAGGAGAAGCAGAAGAAGAAAACTACAACCCAGCGAAGAAAGATGCAGGGCGGAGGTGAACAACACGAATAGGTGATTCACAGGGAACAGTTAACCAACATGGTATTATAATCCTAAACATATTCAACAGACTCTGGTGCTCCCAATTTTATAAAAAGCACAGCAGAGGCTGGTTCCCAGAACTCACACGGTGGCTCACAACCACCCCTAAGTGCAGTTCCAGGGAACGTCCTCTTTTGACCTTCACAAGCATCAGATATGCATGGAATGTATACATATATGCAGACTATATACCCATATGTGTGTATGTGTATCTTAAAAAAGCATAAGCACAACTAGTGGAATTAAAGACACAGATTATAGGAATCCAGTATTAGGTAATTTTAATACCTGACTGTCTCTAATTGACAGGTTATCTGGATGAGAAATAGAGAAACATCAATATTCCACCCAAATATCAAAGAATATACATTCTACTCAGCAGTCCATGGAAGCTTCTCAAAAACAGTTCATATCTTGGGCATAAAACAAAGCTTAACAAAATCTGAAAGGCTGAAATAACTTCATGGGTCCTACCTGTCCGCTGTGTAGTGAAACGTATAATCAGCTGCAGACAAATCTCTAGTAAGGACACAAACTCACAGAAATTAAACAACTCAGGACTGAATGATGAATGGGCTAAAGAGGAAACAAGGAAAGAAATCAAAATTCCTGGAACCATATCAAAATGAAAAGACAACAAAACCTTCGGGACACATAAAAACAGTGTCCTATGAAGGTAGTCTATAGCTTAAGTGCATACATTAGAAAACCAGGAAGCCTGTTTCCTCACAGTTCACAAAGGAACCCAAAGACAGGTCCAGCCACTCAGGGAGCAGAGGGGCGGAGGACTCCCCCGCAGCCCTGCCCACCCGCCTAGCTCACCCGGGGCTCACCATGTCTGCGCCCAGGGCCTCCAGCGGCCCCGCGGTAGCTCCTGGGCTCGCCTGTCTCACGGCCATGGGGGATCAGTCACCCCGGGCTCTCTCAGCTAACTTGACAGCACCGCGCCGGAAGAGAGCGGGCGGCAGAGGCACTTCCGCTTTGCCCGCAGGAGCCCCTGATGGGACGGCGCACGCACCCGGCGCAGCGGACACTACGTCTGCGCCCGCGAAACTGTTCCTGCTAAAGTGTCACATGGCTAGGGCGGTCCTCTTGTGCCAGTATAGATCTGCGGTGTGAAGGCGCCAGAACAAAAGATGGCAGGGGAGGGACTTCCGCTCCGCCCGCCGGTACCCAGGTTCCGACAGCTCTCGTCCACCCAAGGCCTTCACCAAAGCTCCTGGGGTTGGCGAGCCCACAGCTACAGAGGCTGAGCGACTCCTACTACCTCAGCTGCCACGGCAGTGCAATCCTGCGACCATCCTGGGAAAAAGGATGGTGGTTGAGGAGCTTCCTTTCTGTTCTCCGACTGTCCTCATTGGACAGCGCACATCGCCTTCTGCCTTTTGATGAGTGTCCAGATACTGAGTAACAGAATAAGCGATTCTTTTCTTTCCCGACTGAGGAGAACCAAAACGACAAATTCCAACCGTAACCCTTTCTAGCTAGGTTTCTTTTCTTGTCGAAGACCAGCCCAGTTTGGTAGATAAATGCCATTAAAGCAGAAATCGCCCCTGGCTTTCCCGAGAAAGAATCCGTTTCTATCTGTACTTTAAAGATCTTTCTGGTTGCAGATTTCTGGAGATGACTTAGTGTCTCAATATCTCAGAGAAGCAGAAAGTGTTTACCTGCTCCAGGGATTCTTTCAGAGACCTCCGTTCAAGCAAAGGCAGGACACATATATACGTACATACATACACACACACACACACACACACACACACACACACACACAGCTGAAGAAAAATTTTAGGCTGAATCAGTATGAAGCAACTCTAAAGTTTAAAAAGATTTTTAATATAGATTAAACAGTAGCATTACGAGAGGCGTAATGGGCCTGGAGAGATAGCGTAATCATTAAGAGCACTGGCTGATCTTCCCGAGGATCTGGGTTCATTTCCCAGCTCACACAGAATGTATCAAGTCCAATTCCAGGGGCTCTTAACACCTATCTTCTGACCTCTGAGAAAGTAGGCAGGTATGTGGTACACAGACATATATACAGGCAAAATACTCATAAGTATAATATAAAAAAAATTTGGCTCCCTGTTAGGGTTCTCGGCTCACAGAACTTATAGAATGTCTCTATATATTAAGGGAATTTATTGTAATGTCTTATAGTCTGCAGTCTAATTAACCCAACAATAGGCAGCTGTGGTGAATCTAGTAGTTGCTCAGTCCCACTAGGCTAGTTGTTTCAGCTGGTCTTCTGTATAAGCTGGAATCCTGAAGACGGAGGTTCTAACAGACGTGCTGGCATCTGTTAAGTAAGTGTAAGCAGGCAAAGAAGAGAGTGAGTCAGCCTTCTTTCAATGTCCTTTTGTAGGACTCCAGCAGAAAGTGTGGCCCAGATTAAACGTGTGTACTACCACGCCTGGGTTTCGAAATTGCTTTCTCCCAGGCTGACCTTGAACTCAGAGATCTGCTTGCCTCAGTTTTCTGGGACTAAACATGTGTGTTACCTTGCTCGGGCCTAAGCTTTTCCTGGACACTATGGCTCAAGATCTCTGTGTCAAGATCCAGGTCAGAAGCTTGAGTTTTTAGCTTCAAGATCTAGATCACAGGTGTGTTCTCCAGTTCTGGATTGTAGTTCCCCTTACCCGCTGGATTCTCAGTTTATTTTATACTTCCCTTCATTTACCTGCAAATTTTGTGATTTCCTTTTCTTTACAGCTGAATAGAATTTCCATTGTGTTCATATACAACATTATCCACTCATAAACTGATAGGCATTTGGTTGCCTCTATTGTGACTAGAGCAGCAATGCGCAGAGCTGAGCAAATGTCTATAGAGTGGGATGTACAGTCTTTTGATATGTCAAAGAGTGGTACAGCTGGATCATTTTTCATCACAAGATTTTGATCTCTAGTATACTAAAATACAAATGTATTAAATGAGATTATTTTAACAGTAATTCTTCCCCAGTTGTCAGTTTTCTGACACGTTCTCACTTCCATATGAATTTCATAGCTGTTTTATGATCTACACAATTTAATGAACAGTATTCCTTCTTATGCTCTGCTTCCTCAGCAGGGCTTATTAACTCTGATAACCTGAGGGGAACCGGATTAAAAGTGCTTCCGGATTAAGAGCCTTGCTGAGTGACCCACTACTACAATTGGAGTGTCTTACTGCTCCACAAACACCCCAAGAACAAGCATTGTGAATACAGAGAAGAACAGGGCATGCAGGTTAAAGGAATCCCCAAGAGGCTGTCAAAAGCCAGACAGGTGACTCCTTCCTGGAGGCACTGACTTTGCTCCAGGCTGGCACACTGATCATCCGGACACTTCATGCACTGCTCCAAGTCTGATGCAAATACCAACACCATTTCAGCATGTTTCTCTTGGCAGTACACTTCAAATAAATATTTTGGAGAAAGTGAAAATTCTTCTACTTTGTTGCTATGGATTACAGTTAAATTGGATTTATTGACAGCAGTGATTAACAATTTATAAAGACTATCATTTTATGTTGCGGAGGAAACACTTTACTTGCCCCTTATGTTACATACTGATGAACTTTAGAGTATCTGAAACAAGGGCAAAAATGTGTTGTGTCTTAAAACATTAAGGATGCTGTAATAAAGTAAAATTGAATAAATAACTGAATGAAAGTCTAACTACTGCTCATAGCTCTGTATACTAACCAGTTGAACCACACACAAATTCAGATGACTCTTAACCTTCTGAGGTCTTTATATCTGCTTCAGGGACGGTACTTAATGTTTGTGTCTTCACATGGTATGCATGACAAACATGCCTGTCCTCTGCATTTACAAAATTATGCATTTATTCAAACAAATGATTGATTTGTTTGTATTTATGTAAATGGGTATTGTTTATGTGTTTGAGTGTTTTGTGTATGTATGTATGTATGTATGTATGTATGTACGTACATGCACCATATGCATGTAATGCCCTCAGTGGCCAGAAGAGGGCATTATCCTCTGGTATTGGACTTAAGTCTGGTTATGTGTTAGAAAATGAGCTGGAGTCTTCAAAAGCATACAAATGTGTATATGCATGCAGTATATAGATATACATACATATTTGTATTACTAATATACCATTTTATACAAAACTAAATAAGCAATATTAATATACATATGTAAATATAATTGAAATTCAGGTATCTTATAACAGGGTGTCAATGTAGTGCCAGGTATGTATTACATATTTTCAAGTTGTAGGTCAGTAGGGTCTTTTAAAATCCAAAACATGACAAGATATCATCATTTCTCTTGTTTGCCTTCCATAATTTGATGATAAGACTCCATTGATGAAGATACCACATACTTTTTATTGTTATATATTATAAACAATATATTCTGAAAAATTGTATTTATTATATTTAAATTATTTAATCTTAAAAATGTTTAAAAATATTTAGAATTATTAAATATTTAAAAATATATTAAAGTGTTTATTTTAAAATAAACATTTATTTTGAATAAGTATAACATTTATAAGATAAATATAAATATAAAATAAGATATAAGATATATATTTTATTTATTTTATTATATATATGTATACATATACATACACATACACATACACATACACATATATATGGAGAGAGACCAAGAAAATGAAAGAGAAGGTGTGGTGATTTGAATTTGCTTGGCCTTGGCCCAGGGTGGCACTATGAGGAGATATGGCCTTGTTGGAGTAGGTGTAGCCTTGTTGGAGGAAGTGTGTCACAGTGAGCGTGTGTTTTGAGACCCTCCTTCTAGCCATGAGGTTGCTAGTCTTCTCCTGTTTTCCTTTGGAACAAGATGTAGAACTCCCAACAACTCCTGGTTCATACCTGCCTGGATGATGCCATGTTTTCTGCCTTGATAATAATGGACTGAACCTCTGAACCTGTAAGCTAATCCCAACTAAGACAGAAGATGGTACCAGGAGTGGGTTACTACTGTGATAGGCTTGACTATGTCTTTGGAGCAGGATTTGGGAACTTTGGATTTGAAAAGCAGTGGAATGCTTTAAATGGTGCCTAATGGGCCATTCTAGTAGGAATACGGAAGACATTGGAGCTGAGGGTGATTTGAACTCTGGAGATCATTCTTATGATGTTTTGGTGAAGAACTTGTTTGCTTTTTGCCCTTGTCTGAAGAGTCTACCTGAGGCTAAGGTAAAGAGATTTATATTAATTGCATTAACAAAGGAAGTCAAAATAGTCCAGCAGAGACTTTGTTCTCTGGTTTAGTCTCATAAAGAAATTTTGATTAAGCATAGTAAGCTTAAAAAGAAAAAATACCAAATGTATGGTTCAAAGAACAAAGGGGCACCAGGAAGTAGAATGGAGCTGAATTCTATGTTCAAGGAGAAGAACAGATGAAGGGAGTGGTGACTTCAGGACAGAATCCCATCCAGCTAAGGTGATTGTTCATGCTCTTGCAGTTGAATAAGGAACTTGGTTGTTGTTTTCATTTGGACTTTCAATTTGGAATGAACTACAATCCAGAAATATAGGACACAGTCTTTTGATCCAGATCTTGAGGAATGATTGCCATGAAAAGTTTAGGCCCAGTTATGATGGTATATACCTTTAATCCCAGGAGACAAAGGCAAGCAGGCAAATCTCAGTTCAAGGCTAACCTGGGACAGAGCAAGTTCTAGAAGAAAAGCTTAAATCCAGGCATGCTGGTACACATCTTTAATCCCAGATTCAAGAGACACAGGAATGCAGATCCCTGAATTCAAGGTCAATCTACAGAGCAAGTTCCAGGACAGCCAAGCTTAGGCAGTGAGGGATATAATTGAACAAGGGGGCATGTTCTAGCCCCAGCAAACAACCAGACTTGGCAGCTTCAACCACTTGGCTCTGGCTTAGAAGGGACCACTTGGAAAGTTGATGTTGGTTAGCTGGTGACAGCTCCAGCGTGGCCCGCAATACCGAGCTTGGGCATAGGCCTGGGGGATTAA